TTTTGTAAGTTTTTCTTTATTTTTTCTTACCAAACAATTGTATCTTTTTTGTAACATTTCATTTTTGGAATGAAATTGGGCATGTTTTGCCCCTATTTTTTCAAAAAAAAAAAAAAGCCATTTTACTTCATGAAAAAACCTTCCAAAGTTCAATAGAAAGATTTTGAAGGAAAAAAATGGCAATGGCTTAAATGTTAAGCATCCTCAATCTGCTCACAATTGATGAGAAGGCAACATTTATACTAGAAAAATAAAGCAAAGAACTCAGGTAGTTAATCAAAGGAAAAACCTTGTTGAGCTAGCAAACAACTCAAGTGCTTGTATGTATATCTTAGAGATAAGCTAGAGAGAGAGAGAGAGAGAGAGAGAGTGTGTGTGTGTGTGTATGTGTGTGTGTGTGTGTGTGTGTGAGAGAGAGAGAGAGAGAGAGAGATTCCTAATCTTCTGGTAAAAAAATCCTTCACATAATAGAATGCATTTAAAAATATACCTTGCCAAAGAAGACGAGGGGGTCTAAAATTAAATTCCATACAAATAGCCATCAAAATAGAAAGATGTGAGAGCATCAACTTGTGATCAAATAAGATTTCAAAAGAAAAGAAGACTTTGATAAAGTTGAAGTTCTGAAGATAATTATTAGAAAATACAAGAAATGAGAAATTAAGGAAACCACAAGCTCATATCATTACAAATGTAGCAAAAGAAGCACTGCAACATTTCATTGTTATATCCCAGCTTTTGTTCTGATACCACATTATAATCACTTAAGTAAGAGGATTTGCTAGCTGATTAAAAATTTTTGTCTAAGAATATAAAAAAAATCATATATAATTGTTAGCTTTAGAAATACTTGAATCAAACACATCTCTATCCTCCACTTGCATGACAAATTTCCCAACTTTATTTTTAACTTCTTGTATGAAAAAATGGGCTCAACTTGTAAAGAGAAAATAAATGGACCATCTTACCATTTTTCACCTGTGTGTATCAAGTATGAAACATTAACCAGTGTATTTCCATAATGATATACTTTAGTGCTAGCTATAGTTGTATTAGCCCGAGTCACACTTGAATAAGACAATGCAAAATAAGTATGAGTAATTAATCTTAATATTATCATTCAATCGATCATAATAATAAAATTTTCTAACTTCAATTTTGTTAACAACATCATGATTTTGTGTTTTCTTGTTTTCATCACAAGCTTCGGTATTCAATTGAAACCCATTAGCATAAAATCCTTTAAATCTTCGTGCAATTTGCTTAGGACCAACAGCAAGGGCTCTAATTTCTTCTAAAATTGGTGTGTCATATGCATATGTAATCTATAATAATATTAATAATCAAATTAAGTATAGGAAATTTTTGGGCATAGTGGCATGCATTGAACATGGCAAAGTAAGTAATGAGAGGTTTTAATTGCTTACTTTTTGTTAGAACCAATCATGAAAATTTTCATTAACTAGTTTATTAAGAGCTAATGTTATTGGACAAAAGTTGCTTATTATTTTCTCTCTCCCTTCCTCCTTGAAAAGCTTAGTATACTTTTCTAAATGATCACATTGTCAGAACAAATATCTATGAGCTTGCATTAATGATAGGTCATCTAACACACATATATACACCTGATCCAAGGGTTTACCAACAAGTAAGAACTTGTAGGGTATATCATCATCCCTTGATGAAATTTTAGTACATATGGACTTTGACAACGTATGTTCACCATATAGATATTTTGAGCAAAATCAAATTCCCTCTTCAGCAATGTATTGCTCAGCAATTAACCCTTCAAGTTGTGACTTATTTCCAACAAAAATCCTTCAATAGTAAGAAAAACCTATAAGTTATATAAATGTATGTGAACATCCTCCACAAAGCTATAATGCATTTAAGTAATAACTAAGCAAATATTACCTCTCAAAAGGGTACATCCATCTATAATCTACATGCACTCCAAGTTTCATTACTTAAACCAAATGGATGAGCAAGTGGACCATGATAGTGAAGAATGATGGGAGGAAGTACTTCTCCATATTACATAAAGTCAATATAATTTCCTTTTGTTTCTTGTCAAGTTCAATTGGATTTATCACTTTTGCACAAATGAATTTCATGAAATGAGAAATCCCAACAATGATGGTCATTACTTCGTTGATAGTGCACATGATCTAAGTGCAATAAGCATAATATCCTCAATTAGTACATGACAATCGTGGATTTTTGGACCCATTATTTTGCACTCTTTAATATTAACACACTAAGAAATATTTGACGAGTAACCCTTGGGTAGCTTCATATTCTTGGGAACTTCATAAAACATCAACTTATCATTCTTCAACATAGTAAAAAGACCTGGTTGTAAAACAAAACAACCATAAAAATGAACATGAAGATGCAATCAGGCTTCACTCCAATATGAACCAAATTTTGTTGAGCTTGTAAGTTGTCATTAGATTTCACAAGGTCCAACAATGTAGAAATGAAGTTATTGCAAAAAAATTTCTCTATATGCATAACATTTAAATTATGAAGTAATGTGTTATATTGCAATAAGGTAAATAAACAAATATTGATTTTTTTTCTTCCACTTAGTGTCAACACTTTCATTAACATATATTACAACACTTTCATTGACATATATTATAGCTTCGTACCTTCTCTTCAATGTTTTTAACCTGTCTTTACTAATTTTTCCTAAAGTGAATTGATAATTATGTAATTCAGTCAAAATTTCATTACCAGAAATCCTTGCAAGCACAAATATAAATTCATCTGCACTATCAAAGTATTGTTTCTGCTTACGAAATAAATAAGCTAATGTAAGCTAGCCTCGATGGCCCTTAAATGCAAACTTTCTATTTTTATAAAACCATAAATAACTGTGTATTTTGGTCACTACATGGACAACCAACATGCCTTTAGTGCTCCACCACGATAACATGCCATGTGTGGGAAAGTTATTAATAGTCCACACTAATTCTGAACATATCATGAAATTCTCCTAGCTATTGTATCATAAGATTGACCATCTTATCATAGTTGTTGTAGTTCATAAATATTTAGATGTTTGAAATAGATGTCAATGTCATTTTCATGACTTTTTTCATTGGGTATAATCATAGAAATAAAAAAAGGGTGTTTATTTCATTCCACACCATGGGGGCATATTATATGGTATCAGAAGCACTAGCCAAATGTTATGTTCCACTCATAATCTTGAAAGGATTAAAATCATCAGTGACTAAATCAAGGTGAATATTACATGAATCTCAAACAATATTATGAAATCTTTGAATCGAATGATTTTCATGCTTCTCCATCAACTAGGTGTCATAGCATACCATATATATTTCATTCCATAGCATGCCAAATCATCTACTTTTGTAATTTTTTTTTTCATTTTAAATAATATTTGAAGTCTTGAAATCAAGGGAAAATAACAAATAATTTTAGCAGGCTTCATTCAAACTTTCTTTTCTTGTGCAATATTGTTCTTTTTATTACGGGCCCATCTTGATGTCCCACAAGCTTCACATGCGTTCTGATTAGACTTATCTCCTAAAAAAATGAACAATCATTAAGACATGCGTGAATCTTTGTATAACCAATATCAAAAGCCTTCATTAATTTTTTAACTTCATATGAAGTTATAGGCAATGAAGTCCCTTCAAGAAATGCTTCAATCACTAACTCTAATAATATATCAAAAGATCTTGTAGTCCAAGAGTTTAGATATTTTGAACAAAATAAATGTAATATGAACGAAAGGTTTGAAAATGTCATACACTCCGGATATAATTCTTCTCTCGCATCTTTTAATAATTTTGAGTTTTTTTTTTTTCATATTCTTTAGTTGAATCTTGAGTAAGTCCCTTCAACTAAGTAAATAGAGTTATTGATTAGAGAAAATGTATCCCTCAACAATGCTTAATTTAAATAGTTTGTGACTTACAATCAGACGTACTACCAACACCTTCATTTTAAGCACCTCTAATAACAACACGATAATACTCCCCAGGTCAATTCCAAAAAATGTATCCCGTAAAGAATTCATTGTAGATAATGTGTTCCTTGACATCTTGTATTTAATGAAAATATTTGTTGATGTAATTTGCATGGGCATAATATTTTTCCTGATAGATCTTTCTCCGACTAGCAAAAATGAAAAAAATCTTCAACTCCTTTGTTGTATTCACGACTCCATCTTGACTTTGTTATCCAACTCTTATTCATTTTAAAATTCAACTACATCTTTAAACTCTGAGATGTAAGAACATTGGATTTTGGTATCATTTGTCTATTAATAAGATTATTAGAGCATCCAATCAAATAACACACTAATTTATCCAAAAAAATGTAAAAGAAATTAATTACTATTATAACTCATCTAAGAAATAAGCCACTGTTAAAATCAAGTAAATAATTTCTAGCCTTAGTCACCTTGCAATGATGAACATGAAGAATATGTCTAGAAACTCTATCTCTTTTAGGTGGTGCGCAACTAACATGCTAAAAATTATAAAATAGTAGCTGTGAGTTTGGAAAATTAAACTCAATAAGTAAAACTCACTTAGTATAAATAGTGGTATGAGGTTGTTAAATTAGGATCATTAGTATATTGCTATGATGATAGCTCGAGGTCAAAGACAACATGGGTTGTGGGATAGATAAAGAGTATATATATCTATATAACTTCTATGATTTTTTGATAAATTTTTTTCTTAAGATTTAAGAACGATATCTCAATTGAATCTTAAAAAACAACCGAGTTTAAGATCCAAAACGTGTTTCGCGCCATTCTCAACGGCTCTATTTTTCCGCCGTACCATTACGGAATCTCTAAGCTGCGTGATCCCCTTTTCTGCTTTCTTCCTCACTACAAGCGAAGACAGAGAAGAAGTTAGAGAATGAGGCAGTCTGATTCAATTTGACGGTAATAAAGAAGTAAATCCACCTTCCCCTCCGCCAATCGCCGCTTATTTTTGATCTCCAAAGCCCCCATGTCTTGCGGGAGCCCACAGCTCCGGCTTCTGATATTCCGGCGGCCCCAGCGCGCCCCTTCCCCTTATTCTTCTTCTTCTACTACTGCAACGATGGCATCAAATCACCTCTTCTCCGATAAGTTAAGCCGATTTGCTTCTCTTTCCCCTTCACTCAATGTAATAGAGATGAGAAGGCGGAATCGCGCTGAACTCATGCGCTTTCGAAGCTTCATGGCCAAAGATGAGGTTTTTCATTAATTCTCTTCCTTTCTGAATTCCTTCTCTCTCTGAAAGGTTGATTTTGTTACCATGAAAGTTTTTGGAAACACTAGGAGGTGAATTAATTACAAGCTCTTCTTCATCCATTTTTAACTAAAATAAGTATTGAAACTCTTTGGACAGTTACATTCAGTCGCTTACTCTTACATTGAGCCCGCTTCTTATTTTTGTTCAATTTTGTTGTTCACTGGTTAGAGTGCTGCGGCCATTTCTACAAATTATGAAGAGAGTAATGGAATTTCAGCAGAGGAATCTATTCGTGGAAATGAAGACAAGAACAGAACTAGTAATGTTCTTGTTTGCCAGTCCTCTCACATCGACCTGAAGGAGAAGAAGAAGAAGGAAAATTTTGATTTTTCTTTATCTGCTGCTGCTCAAATATTTCGAACTGTTATTCTCAGAAAGAGAAGGTAACGGTCCTGCTCTTAACATGGATTATGAAAACTTGCTAATGGTGATTTCTAACGAATTCTGATCTAAAATTTGCTTAATATATAGTTTCTATTGATTTTATTTATTTTACCGGACTGATTCTGTTTATTTAGTTCTTTTGCTTCCTCGACAACATGCAAAGTCACCTTTAATAAGAAGGCAAAATTATAATTAGGAGCACCGTTTAAATATAATTAAGATGACGGAGCTTTGTTAAAATGTAATTTAAAAAGGAGCAAATATGTAAATCAGATTCTCACTTCCATGAAAAGGCAAATCTAATTTGCAATTTTAATGAAAGTGGATTTTTTTTGGATAAAATGCTATAGAGGACTTGGAGAATGAATAATTAATTCATTTAATGAAATAGAAAATGAACAATTCATCTATAGAAGTGCTTAAAATTATAAATTATATTAATTTAAAAAATAATTATTGATTATATCAAGATTTAATAACTATTAAAATCTTATGAAAATAATATTGAATATGTATAAATCTAATATTATAATGATAATTTTTATTGATTTTGTAAAAGAATATTTAATTAACAATGTTATTATTCATATTTAATATGTATAAATCAAATTAAAAAGTATATTCTTTCCCATACTTCATTTTATATAATTTTCGAATTAAAAAAAAAATAAATGGCGGGTGAACAGTGCGACGCCAATATTGACAATAATGACCTACTTGAAAATTATAAGAATAATTTTTTTTTTTGTGTTAGAAAATAGAGTTCGGTTGGAGACAAATTACTGTATAGGATAATCCACTTGCTTGATAATAATACACATGTTATTAAAAGATGACTAAAGATTTAGATATGTCAAACTAAAACTACTATTAGGGACCAATTACTAAGAGAAAGTTGTAATATATAATATGAATGGAATGCCTGAATCCAAATGGTTTTATAATAATTTTCCTTGGAAAAGGAACATAGAGCATTAGCCTTCTAATATAAAATCGCTCACCAGACCAAACTTGCAAGAGGGCAGACACCCAGGTATATATATAAATGTTAGTTTAATTGACAAATTTCACTCCCTGTATAGATACACAAGCATGAACCCTCCTGTTAAGTACTGGACAAACATTTTCAAATGTTTGAGTAATGTTATCATACATGAATTTCTCTGTATAGATAGGTAAGTGGAATATGTTTTTCAGTTGACATCAACACTTGACGAAGGATGTTGATAAATCAATGACATCAAATCTTTTTTCCTCTTTTGAGACTTCTTGTTAGAAATTCATCTATTTTCATTTTTCTGTACCTTTTTTATTTGGGGGGTAATTTGTTTGCTTTATTTTGATAAATTTCTTCTATCAGATATAATTTATGTTATGCAAGATATGGAAAATTATCCATTTTCATATTTTTTAATGTTTTCTATGACATATTCATCTTCTTCGATTCAAATCATCGAGCTAATCTTCGTTTGCTTTATTTCAATTCTAAGAATTCCAGGTGGAGTTTTGATGAATGCGGGATTAAAATGAAGATCCATCAGATCCTTAGGGAAGAAGGCCCTCGTACACACTCCTCAAAAAAGGGAACCCCAACTATGGGTGGCTTGTTCTTTATTCCAATTGGCATTGCCGTTGCAAGTAAAATGTCTAATTATAACTCTTGGCTAGTTTATGGATCAATTTTAGCAACTCTTGCATTTGCAGCAATTGGTTTAATTGATGATCTCTTAAGTTGTATTAAGGGTCACAATTATGGCCTCCCAGGATGGATTAAATTTAGTTTACAGGTAAATTTGCTCAATTATATAAACTAAGTTTGCCTTAAGTAGTATTCACAATTTGCAAAATTGTTTATGATGATTAACAGGTTGCAGTTGGAGCATATTTTTCTTTCTGGTTGGACTCAGTGCATACTTCAATGCCCTACGATATGTTAAGTATCTTGCAACCAATAAGAACAAACAAATTCTGGAAATAATCCGAATCAGTCCCGATTTTCATTTTATTTATGATGAAATCGTGATGGAAACTACATTTTTTAGCAAATTTACACTTCACAACAAGACTTCAAGTTATCCTTATTTTATTACTCATGCATTTTTTTTAAGCGAGCTCAATATAAGCTATTTTGCAAGTCTATAACAATCTAAACTCTTTAATTTGGATTATTTTATGTTAGTATTTTATATTTCATTGGCTCTATCAAGATCTCATATGATGGCTCGTCTTTCCTTGCATTTGAAGTGTGACTCATTTATCAAGTGTAGTGATTAATGCTAAATGCTAGAAATTGTAGGAAAAATCTGATTCCATCATCATGAAGTCATATACTATTTCATATTCAATCATTTACAAAGTAAATAATTTCTCTCTAAATGTGTTCCCCTACTTCATTATTGGTTAAATGCTTGATGCATCTCTGATGTGTGGCTAATATTTGTTACTTATGATGGATGAATTGGAAGTACTTGCTAAATTAATTCTATTTCCATTTAATAAGATATAATCATTGTTTCTTAGGCTTCGTTTGGGACGGCTTTCCTATTGCTTCTTAAAGCAATTTTTTGTACTAGAAAGCTGCTTAAAGAAACAGTAATAAAGCCGTCCCAAATGAAGCCTTAGTATTCTTAATTTTTTTCGCCAGTTTAATTGCACAACACACATCTGCTAATTAGTATATTGTCAATTATGAAAAGAAGTTTAATTTATGGTGAATTTGGTTGTTTTAGATATATAGAATACTTGTTTTACAAAATATGATTTCATTTTAACTCACTTTGAGTTAGAAAATAAAATCATTACATTTGAAGATATTTTATTTGGGCTTGTGAAAATTTTAGTTTCTAACTACATGAAGCCAATGATGGATCTAGAAGATATTAATCATTTTCCAATTTTTTTGTTTCCAACTTCAAACAACCAAATGGGCTCTAAAAGTAATTCTTTGATACCCTTGATATGCTTATGCTGATCTATTTACTTGGTATTCCATATTTTATCTTGATGAATCTTATTCACCTTCCTCTGATAAAAGTTGATGCCCTTAATATGCTTATGCTGATGCATTTATTTGCTAAAACCATTTTTTTTTTCTGACAAGCGCCAACCCAAAAATGTATAGGAAATTATCAGTTCAACTCCCTCAGCCATTTGGCCACGTATATTTGGGAAAATATTACCTTGCTTTGACGACATTCTGCTTTGCTTCTATGGGCAATGGGGTTAATTTGACTGACGGACTTGATGGTTTGGCTGGAGGAGTTGCTGCATGGGCATTTATAGGCATGTCAATTGCTATTCTTGCAATATCTCCTGGTAAGTAACTCAATATTATTTGTTCAACTTAGCATCTATTTTTGTTTATTCTTACTTCTGAAGTTCTAAAGATTAAGTACTTGCTGATTTTCTAAGGAAATTAAAGAACAAATGTATTATAATGTAAATCAGTCATTAGTTTTTCTGTTGATTAGCTTTGTCTTGGAATTTGAGGTTTGATCCACTCTAATTACTAATAATCTTTATCGAGATAATAAGAAATGCTAATATATATTTTCTTGTATATTCTACTATTAGTGTATATATAAACATATGGATACAAGATATGCAACGAATGTTTTGTCCTTCGATTTCAATATCAATCTTCAATGTCAACATGTCTGTGCCCTGCAAGTGTACCTCATACTGCTTGCAATAATATCCTCTACTTTTTGTTTGAAACTACCTCTTGAACTTCGTTACAAAGACCACAATTGGCATTTACTGGAAAAATTATTCTGTGTGGACGCCTAATGCCATCCAGAGACCAACCAGAATGCGCCACATCACCCTGTGCTCGATACCATGGCTCGGTGCTGCTCGGTACCGCTGATATGATGCATTCTAGTTGGTCTCCATATTGCATTCTACGTCTGGTCTCCACACAGAATAATCTCTTCATTTACTGATCTCTTTTAATCTGAAACAGATCTTGCAATATTAGGAGCATCAATGGCTGGCGCTTGTGTAGGCTTTTTATTTCACAACAGATACAAGGCTTCTATATTTATGGGTGATACTGGCTCCTTGGGCTTGGGTGGAGCACTTGCTACAATGGCTTGTTGCACAGGAATGTTTTTGCCATTATTTATATCCTCTGGTGTCTTTGTCATGGAAGTACTATCTGTCATTTTGCAGGTATATATATTGTTATCCTTCATAAAATTTTCTTCTTTCATCTTTTGCTAAGTATAGATGATTACTATGAACCATCATTTCCATTATCTTTTACTGCTAGTGCATAATTCATAAACAGTTTCCACTCATGAATCTACCCATCCTCAGTCCTTCAAATTTAAGATATAAAACTTGTATAACGGCTAGTTATTCAAGGAAGGTGCCTTTGAATTCTAAAGCATAGAGCTTTATTATTTGACTGTAGACACTCAGAATGTCGATAGGAAAATAAAGCACTGCTAAGAAAAATGCCATGATGGAACAGTTAAATATCTACTCTTGATCATTTAAATTACCGGCTGCGGTTACAGTGGCGTGGGTGTCCCGATAAGTCGGCCGGGGTTTACAGACTGCCAAGTGCGCTTGGCGAAGCTAGGCGTGGCAGGGGACGGTTTCTCGTCAAAAAAAAAAAAAAATCATTTAAATTACTAAACACAAAAAACTCTTGAAATTTCAGGTGCTTTTCATGAAGGTCACTGGAAAGTTGTTTGGAGTTAGACGACGAATCTTTCGAATGTCACCGATTCACCACCACTTCGAATTATGTGGCTACAAGGAACCAGTTATTGTTGCAAGTGCATACTTCATCTCATGCATTTTGGCCTTAATTGCTGGATATATTGGTATTATTTCAACTTGAATCAAATATATGTACTACTTCTGTTCTCCACAGCCATAATCTAAGACTGCTACAGCACCAATTCTCCTATTACATGTACTGCCATATCTCAACTTTAGGTCATAGAAGCCTCTAATAAGCAGCATAAGCCATCAATCAGCAGATGACTAAGAGATTTTGGCATGTTTCAGTATAATTGTATTCAAAGCTCTCAAATATTAATGTGTTGGTTCATTCATTGAAATTTTGTATGTACTATTGGGAATGATTAAAATTATTTGTAAAAACATATGTTCAAAATTCACAAAAACTCGAAAGATGTCTTTTAATAAACAGAATTCTTCCCATTAAGGAATTGATTAGTGCAGTATTAAACAAAATGAATAATAGCAACACAATAATATCAAACCTTTATCTCATTATGTCAGGTCAGTTATATGAATATTTTTTTCAATACTATTATTTATAACTGGAATTGATTATGGCTTTAATTCTGGAATATAAAGTGAGGTTCGTGTGAGACAACTTTTTTATTGTTTCTTAAAACAAAATTTTAGTATAAAAATTTGAATTTTTGTACTAAAACTATATTTTAAGAAGCAATAGAAAAGTCGTTCCAAACAAAGCCTTAATATATGATCTTTACCTTCTAGATATATATATATAATTTTTTCCCCTGAAAGTATGTCTAATATGTTTGCTTATTTTTATATGTTAAGCATAAAATCTTAAATCCCCTAAAAGCATATCATAGATTTTTTTTTTTTAATTCTCAAATGATTTGAATTTTGAACTAGTTTGATATTTTTATAATATCACAGTTACCCAAAAAGAAAAAAAAGTTCAGTCTCATATAAATTTGAGCATATATCAAGTTTCTAATAGTTGAAGCAAAAGGTATGTTTTTATTTGTTCTCTCTCAAGCTCAAAATTTAGGCAATTTATTTGAAGGAATTGAACCTATGATCCTTTCTAATGGATGCAACAATGGTGAAGTGTAGTGGGAACCTGTTCATATTCATGAATTTAGGGTCTTTCAAGCAAGACTTCGAAAGAAGTATTGGTAAAAATAACATGGAACTTTGCTTTAATCTTGAATTCTTTGAATTTATGTGGGAGTGTGATAGACCCAACATTTTTTCCATTTTTTTCATTGAAATCCTAAAGTATAAGCTTGTTAGAGTATAACTTATGGGTATTCAGTGAAAGGATCGATCTTTGAATTTGTTAACTTATAAGAGTAATAGACAACTATGGATTCATAAATATAGAGTTGATATGTTAAGTATCATGTAACATATAGAAAACGAATGTGCTTGTTATTCCCAAAAGCAAGCCTTCAGTAAAAATAGTAATAGTAGGAGTATTATTTAAGGAATGTGATTCAACTATTTTTTTCTTAGCAAAGTTGTTGACCCCTATATCGAAGTACTCACGTAAAAAGGCAAAATCGACGATTTTAAAAACGTGTGCGGCACGTCACTTGAAGGGTCAAACAAACTCCAATTGCCAAACGAATTGCACCGTTGCGATTAGAACGTTGAATTTGCCTAAGTAGGATGACCTCGCAGTCGAATCGGATGACCAATAAAAATTGGCGGTCGACAATCGAAAATGACACATAATGTTATCCAAATGATGTCCGATCGCAAAACAGACATCACCATTGCATTCGAAATGTTCGAGTC